CTGCTGCTGCAGGCTGCCGCCGCCGTCACCTGTGAGGTACTCTGCGATCTCTGCAAGGTCACTCATTGGCATCTGCTGCTGCTGCTGCTGCTGCTGCTGCTGCTGGTCAGGGCCGGCCCCTGCGCTGGCTGCTGCTGCTCCTGTCGGTGCTTGCTGGCCGTCTGCTGCAGCGTCACCACCAGCGGCGGCGGCAGCAGCAGCGGCAGCGCCATTCTGCTGCACTGCGCCCAGCCACTGGTCGAACATGGTGTTCTTGGTCGCCTCACGCAGGCTGCCCATCATGGCCTCCTTCTCTTCTTCGTTGAACGAGCCAGTCACCCAGGGCAGCAGCGCCTGCAAGTGTAGAGGGCACAACGGCGAGGTGAACAGGCGCATAGGCATACCACACGTCACAGCCCGCAGTATACAGGGACCTGACAAGTTGTCACAAGCATCCCAACATGCCCAAGCTCGCTTGATGGTTGCAAGGGTCAGTCACCACGGCACGAACCGTGCACTGGCAGCAGCTCCCCAATGCACGTGCGCCCAAGCCAGCCATGCAGCTGTCCACTCCGCGCGCTGCCCCAGCAGCCGCATCTGTGTTTGCCACAACGCTACACCCATCCGCGACCACCCGCCCCCGCTGCGCCTGCCCCAGCCCACCTGCAGCACCTCCGCCCCGGTGCGCCCGATGATGACGCCCACGAGGTGCTGCTGCTCCTGGATGCTGAAGTGCTCGCTGAACAGCGGCCACAGCTCCGCCTCCTCGGCCCGCACGTGCGTCTCCAGGCTCGCCCGCACCGCGGCACACATGCGGCGCAGCTGCAGCACCAGCTCGCGCGCCTCGCTGGCGGTGGCGCTGGCCTTGACGCTGCGGATGACGGCCGCCAGGTCGTGGAACAGCCGCTCCTCCTGCAGGCGCGACACGAGTTGCGGCAGCGGCCGTCACTGCTGTGCGCGACACATCACACCAAATGTACTGGGCATGGTTACAGCAGCTCCTGCTGCAGGCGCGACACAGCGCACGTGGCAGCGGCCGGCGAGCTGAGGGGTGACCCGGCGTGTTCACGAGGCTGCGCCACGACGGACGCCTGACAAAAAAGGAAGCTGCGGACAGTCCAGCTCAGGCTGTCACTCAAGGAGGCTCAACGGCAGCGCCAGCAGTGCTGTCAGCGGCGCGTCGCACAGCAGGTGTTTGGGCATGGAGCAGCTGCCCCTCCTACGGGCGCCGAGCAACCCAGCAACATGCGCCACGTTCTTCGTGCTTCGCGTGGGCCCCAACTGGCAGGATCGCAGCCGCCAGACAAGCACCACAGCATGCGTCCGTCGACTTAACTCGCCAGGTGCGCACCAGCCCCCCTGCACCAGCCCCCCTGCACCAGCCCCCCAGCACCAGCCCCCCAGCACCAGCCCCCCTGCACCAGCCCCCCTGCACCAGCCCCCCTGCACCAGCCCCCCGCACCAGCCCCCCTGCACCAGCCCCCCAGCACCAGCCCCCTCTGCACCAGCCCCCCTGCACCAGCCCCCCTGCACCAGCCCCCCCAGCACCAGCCCCCCCGCACCAGCCCCCCCTGCACCAGCCCCCCAGCACCAGCCCCCCTGCACCAGCCCCCCCAGCACCAGCCCCCCGCACCAGCCCCCCCTGCACCAGCCCCCCTGCACCAGCCCCCTGCATCAGCCCCCCTGCACCAGCCCCCCTGCACCAGCCCCCCAGCACCCCCCCCCCCGCACCAGCCCCCCTGCACCAGCCCCCCCAGCACCAGCCCCCCCGCACCAGCCCCCCAGCACCAGCCCCCCCCCGCACCAGCCCCCCCCCCCCGCACCAGCCCCCAGCACCAGCACCCCCAGCACCACCCCCCCCCCCCACCAGCCCCCCAGCACCAACCCCCAGCACCACCCCCCAGCACCAGCCCCTCCCCCGCACCAGCCCCCCCCCCCCCCGCGCCAGGCCCCCCCCCCCTCCTGCGCACCAGCCCCCCCGCACCAGCCCCCCTGCACCAGCCTCCCCCCGCACCAGCCCCCCCCCCCCCCGCACCAGCCCCCCCCTGCACCAGCCCCCCAGCACCAGCCCCCCCCGCACCAGCCCCCCAGCACCAGCCCCCCCAGCACCAACACCAGCCCCCTGCACCAGCCCCCCCGCACCAGGCCCCCCCCCGCGCCAGCCCCCCAGCACCAACACCAGCCCCCCTGCACCAGCCCCCCCGCACCAGCCCCCCAGCACCAACACCAGCCCCCCCGCACCAGCCCCCCCCCCTCCGCACCAGCCCCCCAGCACCAGCACCCTAGTCACGGTCCAGCGCGTGCTCAAACTTTGCTGCCATGCGCCAGTTACTTGAAAGCCTTCTGTCCCCTGTTTCTATCTCGGAACAAAAAGCACCCAGCACAGCTGAACACCAAACTGCTTCGAGAGTCTGCAAGAAGCCCCCACCTGCTCGTGGTCCAGCGTGTAGGCGTGCGACACGTTGTGCAGCGCCTCCTTGCTCTCCAGCGCGGGGAACACGATCTCGTCCTCGGCCTTGCTGTGCGCCCTGTAGATGCCCCACAAGAACTGGAACCGCCCATCAAGCTGCTGCAGCGCGCGCGAGCACTCCCGCACGTACTCCAGCGGGGCACAAGCGTCCGGGGCGCCGCCGTTTCTTGCCCCCGCTAACGCTGCTGCTGCTGCGGCTGCCGCGTCTTGTGCTGCTGCCTGCTGCTGCTCCAGCTGCTCGCAGCTGTTGAGCACGGCCAGCTCCAGCACTGCTGCGTCAGACTCCAGCTGCTTCAGCTCCCGCCTGAGGGCCTTGTGGAACTGGAAGATGTGGTCGATCGGGTTGCAGCCTGTGGGGTTGGTGACGCTGCAGCCGCCGCTGCCGGTGCTGCCTGGTGCCACGCCTGTGCTGCGCGCATGTTGCAGCTGCACAGCTGCACCTCCACCTGCTGCTGTGGTGGCGGCGGTGCTGTCGCTGTGCGCTGCCACAGGCGCTGCAGGCGGTTGCTGCTGCGCTGAGGCAGGGTCCGTAGGATGTTGCTGCTGCTGCTGCTGCCGCACGCCCTGCGCCTGCTGCTGCTCTGCGATCAGCCCTTGCATTGTCACCGCACATGCCAGTGCTGCAGCAGAGCCCAGCAAGGCACCTGCTGCAGCTGCTGCTCCTGCTGCCCCTGCAACCCCTGCTGCAGCTGCCGCTGCCGCCTCAGCTGCCTCTGCTGCAGTGGGGTCAACAGCCGCCAAACTGCTGTCATTGCCAGAGCTGTGGTCGCACAACCGCTGCCGTTTGCGCGGCGAGCTGCAGGTGTCTGAGCCCTGCCGGATCAGTCGTAGCTCGCACGTGTTGTTGCTGAAGTAACAGGGATCGTACGTGTTCCACTGCTGCTCTGAAGCCACTGCTGTTGGGCTGCTGCCAGAGTCCAGATGCTGCAGCTGCTGCTGGCCTGTGCTGCTGTTTGGGCTGGCGCCGGCAACGTTTGGGTCAATGCTTGCAGCACCCCCGCAGGACTTGCACATTGCATGCAACACAGAAGCAGGCACCAAACCTCTGAGGCCCTCGTGCACCTGCGGCAGCTGCTGCTGCTGCTGCTGCTGCGCGGCAGCCGCAGACTCTGCCGGCCGCTGCTCTTGCACAGCAGCAGGCACCGCTGCAACGCTGCCACTGCCGGCACCCGCTGCCGCCGCAGCTGCCACGCCTGCCCCAGCAACAGCAGCGGGCTCCGGCAGGGGCCACCGCCCGCGGTGGGCCCAGCGCAGCAGCAGCTCCACGAGCTGCTGGTCCACCTGCGGGGCCCCCAGCCGCAGGTTCATCATCATGCCCTCCGCGTCCTCTGCCGACAGCTTGCTCAGCAGCCAGGGCAGCACGCGCTCCAGCAGGCGCAGCGGCATGGCCCGCAGCGTGTGCCAGACCATGCCGCGCTGCTGCTCGGCGCTGAGGGTGGCCGCGAGCAGCGGCAGCACCTCCGCCTCCTCACGCTGCGCGCAGCACAGGCGGCACAGCGCACCAGAGGGGCGCGCAGCAGGAACAGCAATCTGCATCAGTAGCTGCCGGCGGCAGGCTGCACGAGGTGCGATGCACAGGCAAAGCAGGGGGTGGGGGCTCCCCAGCAGGCAGCGCATGCGCGACGGGAGCAGGCGGAATCTGCCGCCGTGCACAGCAGCACACAGCAGACGCCGCACGCGCACGCCACACACAAGGACGCAGGAACAGTAACCACAAGCTGACAACCATACCACTCAACGCTCGGTCTCCAACAGAACACATCGTGGACCCCCGACAGTGCCCACCCCCACCCCACCCCGCGCTTGTACCAGCAGCTCGCCGCCCACCTGCATGTGCGCGCTGATGGCGCTGCAGACCTTCCTGGCGGTGCCCACCAGCTGCCCCACCATGCCCGAGACGTCCCGCGTCCTGCCGCGCCGCACAAAGGCCCGCACGTCAGCCAGCAGCCGCCCCAGGTCCTCAAACAGCACCACCTCGCTGCTGTGCTCCGCCTGGCACGTGCTGCAGGCGGCGGCGACGGACGCCAGCTGCTGGGTGGCCCCCAGCCCGCTGATGCGCAGCACCTCTGGGAACATCACCTGTGCGCAGGGAGAAGTTCACGGTGCAAACCTGTGCACTCGAGTGCATGCCATCGCACGCTTGTGGCTGGCATACAGCCCCACTCTTGTGCAACATGGTATGACAAGCACGCGAAGTGCAGCACCCGCCATTGCAGGGGGATTGGCCACATCAACCCAGCGTGTACACATGAGGTGCTGCAGCTCAGGACGACAGCAGCTCGGCAGGATGCACAGCACTGCGTCCGCAAGAGCTCACCTCTTCCTCAGACAGTGTGTGGAACATGCACACGCTGCGCAGGAACCTGTGCCGCTCAACCAGCCCTGCCAGCTGCCCTGCGGTCACGCCGCTCTGCTGCTGCAGCGCCGCTGCCTCTGTAGTGAACACCTCCAGAGCACCACGGATGCTGTGGTGGAACAGCACGATGCCCTGCAGCAGGAGGCACAGCAGGCAGCATGCCAGCGTTGATACCTATGATCTAAAAAATTTAATTGGGCCCGAAGGGAATTGAACCTCCACCCACCAGCATGGAAGACTAAAACTCTACCATTGAGCAATATTCCCCAAACATTTTTGTTTGAGTGAAAGCAGACCACTGGATAAGAGGTCGCTATAGGAGGGACCACCAGCATCGCTGCTGCGTCAGTCAGCACCTTCCAGCAGAAAGTGGGCCTGCAGGCAGCACCAGGACTGCAACTGTGGCACGCGTGAAGTGCTTGGTGCCCCAGTGCAGCCGCCTTGCCACAGCCAACAGTTCTGCTGCTGAAAACGTCCGGCTCACCCTCAGTGGTGGCCACTGCTCTGCTTGCGTTTCCCCAGCAGATGCAGCCTGTGCACCGTTGCTGTTACCGCCGCCAGCCGCCAGCACCGCCTGCTGCTTGCTGGGCGCCGCAAACGGACAAATCACCAGCCGCTGCTGCTGCTGCTGCTGCAGCCCTACTCCAGCACGTGCTGCTGCGTCGCTGCTGCCAGCTGCAGGCACCGGGTTCAGCCATGTCACCAGCAGCTGCAGCAGCAGGCGGTCGGGTATCACGTCCCTGAGGTGCTGCATGAGCTCCTGCAGCTCATCCAGGGGGACCATCGGCTTCAGCCACGACAGCACCCGCTCTACTGTGTCCAGTGGGATGCAGTACATGAACTGCGCCACCAGCTCAGCCTGCTCTGCATGGCTGAAGTGCTGTAGCAGCAGCGGCAGCAGCTGCGCCTCCTCTTTGGCCAGGTGCTTGCGCAGCGTGATGTGGATCTCCTCAATCTTGCAGATGAGTTTCCTGCAAGGCACATCAAACAGACGTCCATCCTGTTGTGGTAAGCAAGGTGCAGGCTGGCAGGGTCATCACCACTGCAAGGCACCTTCAAGACACAATGTGGGCACTGAGAAAGCATTGTGATGCTGCAGTATCAGCCAAGCCACTGGCCGTTCCTTGTTGCGATGTTGGCTTGAACTACTCTGGCCTGGTCTGACTATCTGCCTGGCAGTAGGCAGCAGCACACCTGACTGTGGCTGCACGTTCTGCTCCATCCTGTGCCAGTGCAGAAGCCAGCAGGCTGGCCAGGTGCTCAAACAGGTATTCCTGCAAGCAGCAGCAGCAGCAGCAGCAGCAGCAGCAGCAGCAGCAGGCGCAGTGGTGGGGGCAAAGCGAAATCTTAGCGGCTGGATGGCAGAAAACGTCAAATCAGACTACCTCACACAACACAAGGGGATACTTGCCATGGATGCGTGTGCCCGAGGCGAGTTTTGCTTGCAGGACACAGCATCTACCCTCTGCCCCAACAATCCATTGCAGTGCTTGCAGTGCTTGACGCAGAACTCTTGAAAGAAAAAATCTGGTGCTCCAGGGGTTCAAGCGCTTTGCAACAGCTACGCAGCACAACCTGCTGTTGCACATGCACACACACCATGCTGCTGTGGTGCTGAAAGCAGCTTTAAAAGCACACACTGGAGGATGCCGTGCAGCCCTTCAACATGTGAGCTTACCTCATCCTGGTGCTCCACGCTGTAGGCTGACGTGACATTCTTCACCTTGGTGTCAAGTGCAGGGTAGACAACCTGTGGGCATGTGAAGCAACGCACAGCAGTCGCGGGAGAGCGCTGCCGCTGTTGCCACTTGTGCTGTGCCGCAGGACTGCCTGTGCTCAACTCAACGCTGCTAAACAGAATGGTACACATAAATCTATGCCGCACAACCCTCACCTCATCCTCCACGCTGCTGTGGTACTTGTACACCTGCTCCAGGAAGTGGTACCTCTCTTTCAAGTGCAGCAGGCGGTGCACCAGATCCTGATCGCTGCTGGCCTCCAGTTGCAACGCCCATGTCGACAAGTTTTGTAGCTCTGTGCGAATGGAGTCGTGTAGGTGGCCATAGAGAAAGTTGATGGGCGCGTGCTTATAACCCGTGCCTGGTGCTTCTCCCTGGGAAACCAGGACGTCACTAGTAGACGCAGGGCAACACAAGGCCATAGCCATAATGCATCATGCAAGTGTGCTTTGCCTTCGGCTGCACAATCTTTGATTCCGGGTGATGGGTGGTTTGTAAATGCACGTCTCACTTTAAATCAATCAGTTATTGAAAAGGTGGCAGAGTCGTTGTGATTACAACGTCAGGGTCTTAGTGCAACTGGGAGGTGAACAGGTACGCCAACTTGCAGGGCGTGCCAGGACCTGCAGGGCACACGAAGTGCATGCGCGGTTCATACACTGCTCAATTATGAACATTCAAAAATAAAGTTACGGATGCTCAGCTTTGCTGTGCAGAGTTACGCTTCATTTTTTGAAGTAGCTGCTCGCAGGCGCATGATCAACAATACTTAGGCTATACTTTGGCTATGTGTAAAAATACGAGGGTGTCAGAAAGTTTTGGTGAGATTGCTTCACCTGCAGAATAATGCCTGCCCATATAACAGCAGCAGCAGCAGCAGCAGCAGCAGCAGCAGTAGCAGGCTGTTGGGCAAACATTGCCGTGAGAGCGGTGCAAGGGCTGAACACTCTACAGCTGTAAAACATAAAACTACTGCACAGCTGCAGCGCTACCATGCAGCTGCCACCATCTACCGGACAGGCTTCAGCTTGTGGCCTGAGCAGCAGGTTGAGGGGGGCTGCACGGGTAAGCCGTGGTTGTTCATGCATGCACACACATGGCTGCTCATTGCACAGCACTCATCTTCCATAATTATCATATTTTCAGCAATATCCCTGTCAATGCAAGCACAAACCGCTCAGTAGTATGCACACATGCATTATTGGCAGTCAGCAGCTGCGGACCACACATGTAAGGTACCGTTGCTGTGTCTGTGCATCAGCTCCAATCACAATGAGCACCAGCTCAAACAACAGACTTGCACCAGCTCAACAACATAATCGCACCAGCACCAGCTCAAGCAACAGAATCGCACCAGCTCAACAACAGAATCGCACCAGCACCAGCTCAAACAACAGAATTGCACCAGCACCAGCTCAATCAACAGTGAGAATCAGGCCCATTAGTCTCACCTGTACCTGCTTACAAGCTACAGGTCAGCTCAACAAGGACAGCCATGTTCTTACCTTGCCTGCGCTGTTGCCAGCAGGTGCGGCGGTTGCAGCGATGCAGCTTGCGCATATCTGCCCAGCAGCAGCAGCAGGGGCCTCGGCAGCAGCACGAGCAGCCAACACCTGCATTACAGCAGCAGCAGCAGCAGCAGCCTTTAGCACAGGTTCCTTCACAGCAGCAGCAGCAGCGGCAGCTCCCGCCATCAGGACCAAAGCCGTCGGTGCAACAGCGCCCTGCGGGGCCCCGACGAATGCAGCGGTCGTCTCTGCCACTTCACCCCATGCAGCGGCAGCAGCGACAACAACTACTGGCCGCACAGCAGCAGCAGCAGCAGCAGCAGCAGCAGCAGCAGCAGCAGCCTATGCAACAGCAGATGCAAGCAGTGTCACAGCCAGTGGTGCAACAAGTGGCGGCAACCGCACTACAACCTGTGCCAACACCAGTAGGGCATGCACCAAGTCACAGCGGCACACACCTCCCTGTCACAACCCCCAACAGCACTTGGTTGCAGCAGCAGCAGCAGCAGCAGCAGCAGCAGCAGCAGCAGCAGCAGCAGCCTAGGGCAGCGGCAGCACCCCCTGCATCACCAGTGCCAGCAGCAGCAGCAACGGCAGCAGCAGTCGCATGGCTGCCTACGAGGCGGCCTACTCCACGCAGGTCAAGGCGCAGCAGCAGCAGCAGCAGCAGCAGCAGCAGCAGCAGCAGCAGCAGCCGTTCCATGGCAGCATCAGCAGCCCGACCACCAGTCAGCAACAATGGACCTACTTCACCACAGCCAGCAGATGGGAGGCAGCAGCCAGCACAGACACCCCATGATCAGCAGCGGCAGCAGCAGCAGCACCAGATACTTTGGCAGGAGCCACTTCCATGGCAGCAGCAGCAGCAGCAGCAGCACCCAGCACAGCAGTACTCACTACAGCAGCCTATGCCACCGCAGCTGCAGCAGCAGCAGCCATGGCAGGAGCAATCTTCATGGCAACAGCAACATTACCCAGCACAGCAGCACCCAATGCAGCAGCTTTGGCAGCAGCAGCAGCAGCAGCAGCAGCAGCAGCCTGTGTTGCACAACCCCATTGATGGTCAACCCTTCCTACAGCAGCAGCAGCAGCAGCCGTGGCCAGTCCATCAGCAGCCAACATGGGAGCAACTTCAAGCGCAGCAGCCAGCTTGGGAGCAGCTGCAAGCGCAGCAACAACAGACTTGGCCTGCACAGCAGCAGCTCCCGCATGAGCAGCAGCGGCCATGGCCGGGTCAGCTGCTGCTGCATCCACAGCAAGTGCAGCAGCAGCAACCGATGACAGCCGAGCAGCACCAGCCGCAGCCCTGGCAGCCGGTGCTGCAGGCGCATCAGCAGGCCCCTGATGAACCACAGCCGTGGGCCAGCCTCAACCCAGCAGCAGTTGCTCCTGCTCCTGGTGCTGCTAGTCCCAGTGCTACTATTGGCGCCACCACTGACAACCACCAGGCTGGCAGCAACGCGTCAAGTAGCAGCAGCACCGACTCAGCAGGCGGCACTACCACAGCAACTCGGCTTCAGATTGCCAAGCAGTTGATGCAGGCAGCGATGGATGACAGCAGCAGCAGCAGCAGCTTGCACACCTACAACAGCATCCTTACACCACCAGCAGCAGCAGACACCCCACTTGATGCCGCTGGTGCTGCTGCTCCAAGTGCTGTTAATGCGGCTGCTGCCTTCCTCACAGACACAAGCAGTGTTGCAGCAAGTATTGACAGCAATAGCAGCAGCAACGGCAGCATTGCCCCGGACAGCAGCATTTTTGAAGCAACCAGCAGCAGCAGTGACATGGCTGCTGGCAGTGCGGACCCCGCTGCCCGGCTGCAGGCAGCCAAGCAGCTGATGCAGGCAGCGATGAGCAAGGACTACAGCAGCAGCTTTTGGGACGCCTCGCAGCTGCAGGAGGCTGGAGATGATGGCCAGCCAGCTGATGTTGGGGAGGAGGAGGGTGCAGCGAAGAATGCAGAATCAATGGAGGAAGCAGCTGGAGAAGCTGAGAGCAGGTCACTCACAGCACAGTT